AAACAATTTATAAAGGTCCTTGAAGTTTGTTGTAACCAATCCCTTCAAAATGTGAAGAAATGGCTTAAAAGTGCAATGCTTTAATCGAAGATGTTGGTTCTACTTTTACAAAAACGATGAACAACAAATGAACTCTACAATAGAAAAATAAACTTATACGTATAATTATAAGAGGAGTATAATATGTATGAAATCAACATACCTGTTTTCCTGATGCACAGCCCAATTTTCTCAACACGCTTTGATCCAACAGTTACGTCTGAGATAGTCTTGGCGTTACATCATTTACCAGTTAAATATGGGAAAAACAAGGAAACAGCTTCAAGGCCTGATCCATAAATTACCTGCAATAAATTGGCTGAAAATTCAAACTAACTGAAATAGAAAATAGCTGAGTTTAAATAGGGCTGATCGCTGAAATTAAATTTTCTTCAAATTAAGATTGCTTCAACTCAACATTGCCTGAAATTATGCGTCGATTTGGAAATTGCCTAAAACAAAGATCAGCTGAAACGAAAATTACTTGGATAATACGATGTACTTGGAATAAAAATTACCTAAAATTGCTGGAAATTGAATTTACCTACTAAGAATATTTCCCCATCCACTCTCGTACTGAAAATTCAAAGTATTTTTCTCTCGAAGAATTAAAATTTCTTACAAAGATTTCTCACAGCTGCGAGTATAGGAGTACGAGTATAGGAGTATTTTTCAGCAAAAATAAAAATATGAATCTGAATTTTAATTGTTGAAAATATATCTCGAATATTTGGAGGAAGGTTTTAAGGGCAAATAATTCGAGTTTTTGATCAACATTGTCTATCTTTGAGCATTCGATTAGAATTTCACATATTCTAAGAGCATAATTTTACACTATAAGCAATTTGATGTTTTAGTAAAGGCAACATACCTGATTTTCTAACTTGCAGCTCAATTTTTCTCAATACGCCCTGCCACAATGGAAGTTATTTTGAAATGATCCAACAAAAGAAGAAGAGTCCACTCTTTCGAACTCTGCAACAAGCTAATAGACTGGAAATTGAATAAGGAATTAAATATTTAAATAAAATGAACATACCTGATCTTCGGATTTGCAGCTCAATTGTTCGACACTTTCCAACACAATTGACATTTTTTTTCCAAGATGGTCTTTAGAAAATCTGTGAATACATGCTGAAATACTTTTTTCCACGCCACCCAGGAGGTAAAGTATAAGGCGCGTTTTTTTTAGACCTGGTGTCCCCATCCACTGAAACTATATTTCGTCCATACTTGCCGGCTAAATATGGAGGAAACTAAGAATCAGCTTCAAGGCCTAATCCAGGCAAGAACGGGTGGCGAGAACGGGTGGCGAGAACGGGTGGCGAGAACGGGTGGCGAGAACGGGTGGCGAGAACGGGTGGCGAGAACGGGTGGCGAGAACGGGTGGCGAGAACGGGTGGCGAGAACGGGTGGCGAGAACGGGTGGCGAGAACGGGTGGCGAGAACGGGTGGCGAGAACGGGTGGCGAGAACGGGTGGCGAGAACGGGTGGCGAGAACGGGTGGCGAGAACGGGTGGCGAGAACGGGTGGCGAGAACGGGTGGCGAGAACGGGTGGCGAGAACGGGTGGCGAGAACGGGTGGCGAGAACGGGTGGCGAGAACGGGTGGCGAGAACGGGTGGCGAGAACGGGTGGCGAGAACGGGTGGCGAGAACGGGTGGCGAGAACGGGTGGCGAGAACGGGTGGCGAGAACGGGTGGCGAGAACGGGTGGCGAGAACGGGTGGCGAGAACGGGTGGCGAGAACGGGTGGCGAGAACGGGTGGCGAGAACGGGTGGCGAGAACGGGTGGCAAGAACGGTAACCTAACTTGGGGAATCCTAAACAGCTAGCCTAAATTGGGGGGGGGAATCCTAAATTGGTGGCCTACATTGGCATCATGGGGGGGGGTGAACTTATTATTTAATTATCATTACCTAACTTATTAATAGCCTGTATTGGTATTCTGGGTTTTATATTATCATGCATTATTATATTTGCACCTAAAAGAATGGGAGACTGTGATCCTTATAAAATAATATATTTTAATTCAATTTTAGCAGCATGTATCAGCATCAACGGGGGGAACTTAATATCTAATTATTATTATCCAACTTATTGATAGCCTATATATTAGTATTCTGGGCTTTAATCATACACTACTATATTATTTAAATCTAAAAGAACTGGGGGCTGTGATGCTTATAAAATGTGTTTCAATGCAATTTTAGCAGCCTGTATTAGCATTATCAGGGAACTTAATATCTGATTATTATTTCCCAACTTATTGGTAGCCTATATTGGGGTCATCAGAGAAACCTATTGTCTAATCATTATCTAACTACTGCACGTTTCATGTTTTGTTCATAATTATATATTCTGCCTTCTCTCATATCATGCAATTTTAATATCAGAGAAATTTATTACCTAAATATCATTTCATTAAAATAAATGGATTTGAAATTAATTTGAATTTTAATCTGTAGCCTAAATGGGAATCTTGAATTGCTGGCATAGATTGATAGCATTGATTGCCTTAAATTAGTGGCAAAATATTGAGAGCCTATTGAATTAGAATTGACTAACCTGATATTGAAATTACCTGGAAACCTGAAATTAAAGTTATCTGGAAACTTGAAATAAAATCAACTGGAAACCTGAAGTACGAATTATCTGAGAATCTGAAATTAAAAGCAGCTAGAAATCCGGAATCGACTGGAAACCTGAAATAAAAATATTATCTGCAAATCTGAAATAAAAATTATCGGGCTATCTGAAAATAAAATCAAGGGAAAATCTGAAATAAAATTGGAGACAAAATTCATTCACTGATGAAGAAGTTTGTTGTGGCTGGTTATGAAAAAATAAAAATTGAATTCCAAAGAATTAAGGGAGGAAGGTTTGTTGTTTGTATTTACACTCCTCAAGGCATTTTAGACAATTTATCTTATTTGTATCTGTTACCTCCTACTTGCTCTAATCAGATTTGAGGAACTTATTGTAAAATTATTACATCATATTAAATGAAAAATCTTGAAATTGAAATTTAAAAAAATAAGTAAGCAGGCAGAATATAGGTGACATAAAAAAAATCAGCTCCCAGTCCTAATCTATATGTTACCTGTTGGTAGAAATACCTCGAATTAAAAATATCCGAAGTTGGAAATACCTGACATCGGAATTAGCTAGAAATAGAAGCTGCTGGAACTGGAAGGTGCTGAAACTGGAGGATGCTGGAGCTGGAAGCTGCTGAAACTGGAAGCTGCTGGAACTGGAGGCTGCTAGAATTAGAACTACCTGAAATCAAAGAAAAGAACAGAAATAATAATTATTTGATATTTGAATTATATTCAAGATGAGAATAAACTGGAATTCAAATTACTTGAAATCAAATTGAAATTCAAAGTGATTGAAATTTATACATGTTGGCCGAAATCAATATAATAATAGCATATTATAGGTTATCATAGTATACTGGTGTCGCTCAAATTCACCCCATTTCCTTATAAATGTTGATTTCAAAATAAATAACTAACATCGATTAAAATTTGAATTTTGAATTAGAATGAATAGTGTAGGTACTTCAAAAATTTGCAATGTGAATTTAGAAACATTTGAAAATGATTGATATTTTTTAAAAAATCTCTTTCATTTAACTTTGTTGGGAGCAGCAAATAGACTGTACAAATGAACTGAATTTTTAATATTAAATAATTAGACATTTGGCTGAAAACAATTTAAAAATAAAAGCATTCAATTAATTTTTTTGAAATGTTTAAGTAATAAGAACTAACCTGGATAACCCTTTCAATTCAATGACCATTGATTAAACACCATATACCACATACCAGCACCATTAATACTAAGCAGCAAGCAAAAAGCAGCAAGAAACATAAAACAGCATGCAATAAGTATCAAGCAAGAAGTAACAAACATTGAGCATCCAACAAACACTGAACACTTGGCAAGCACTAAAAACTACACAACACTGAACATTTCACCAACACTGAAAACTTAACAAGCACTAAAAACTACACAACACTGAACACTTAACAGACACTGGAAACTACACAACACTGAACACTTAACAGACACTGAAAACTACACAACACTGAACACTTCACAAACACTGAACACGACGAACGATGGAGATGCGCACCTCACCATGCAAACTTTCCAACTGACTAGAATTGACTGACCGATAACCAGTTCTGAGTTTCTTCTGCGCCTGCGCAGTTTAGGCTGGTATCGAGTTTTCTCATTGGTTGGGGTGGCACCACCGTCATCAACTGTGCAATCACGTACCAGTCTGGTTACTGTAGATAGTGATGGGGTGTGGCCAACTGACCTTTGAAGATCGGTTTCTGAGACACGCCTCTTGCCTTTCTACCATTGGACCTTTAATTATAAATACCTGCCATATATTTGCCACCAGCATCTTCTATAATAAAATCTGTTGAAACCTTTTTTCCAATCATTTGATTGGTTGTTGGTGACGTGACCTGGACAACGAATGAGACTTTATGGGGCGGAGCCACATCAGGCACACACAGCTCGTGGATATTAAAACGCAAAGAATTCGAGGTATATGGTGATTTCAAATTTGACACAATTCCTGTTTTAGCTGAGCATTAATATTACCAAAATCGAAGCCAGTTTTTGGAGCTTATTAAAATCTTTTCGTCTTATTATTCAGACATTCCTAATAAATAACTGCTTTGTGCCAGAGTTTTCCCCAAATATCAAAA